GAGACGGTCACTGGCCTCACGTCCCCTCTGAAGTCCTGAAATGGGACAGACGGCTGCAGCTCACATCACTGACCTGCGGAGGTCTCAGTCACAAAGTCAGCGGGGCGGGCCTGGGCGCCGACAGAACTGGGCAGTGCACGTAAACATCAGAGGAAGCACCGTGTTGTGACAACCTACTATGCGCTGGGCACCCTACTGAGCCCACTGGCTTCGTCATGGTGCTCCCTGCTTTTATAGAAGACAACACTGAGACTTAGAGAGGCTAATTGTTTTATCTGAAGTCACGCAGCCTAGGGGTCAAACAAATCAAACCTGACTTTCCAGCCCTTGTACCTGCAACAGTCCACAGGCTTATATTCTGAAGGGGGTGGGGTCTGGTGCCCAGTGTGGGTGCTGGGAGGTGGCAACAGGCCCAGGAATGCTACGACGCACTTCTGCACGGCTGGCACTCTTTGCGAAGCAAATGAGGAATAAGAAACAGTTTGTATCATCAGCTAGACCAGTCCCAAAAACTCTAACAGAGTGGGGGGGTCCTGGCAAGTCGGGCTGGCACATGACTTAGAACCAGAGCCTAAGAAGGTCTATCCCCCACCGGCGGGGGCATTCCCAAATAGCATCTTATGCTGTCTGTACAGCCACCTGGTGCAGGAAACCAAAGATGAATGTACCGTGAGCACACAGGGAAAGGCAAGAGACAGCAGACACCCATCGCCTCTTCCTTTGCAAAAGCGGGCCCTGGCTCCGCTGAAACCTTCCACTCTGGGAGAGAAGCAGAGGCCAGAGGGCCACGTGGTTCTGCTCACTAATCAACAGAGCATCCCTGAATCCATCACCATCAGGTCATTAACAAAAAAGTGCAACGTGAATACCCCGAAAACCACAAAGCATCTCTCAGAGAAATTTAGAAGGTCCAAATAAACGGAAAGACAGCCCGTGTTCATGGATTCAAAGATGTAATATTGTGAAGATGGCAACACCCCCAAATCAATCTACAGAGACAGCACAGTCCCTATTGAAATCCCAGCTGCCTTTTGCAGAAACTGACTAGCTGATTCTAAAAATTAATATGGAAATTCAGGGGACCCAGAATAGCCAGAACCATCTTGAAAAAGAAGAACAAAGTTGGAAGACTCCCACTTCCGATTTCAAAACGTACTGAAAGCTTTAGTTATCAAGATAGTAGGGCGCTGGCATATACATCAATGGACTAGAATCAAGAGCCCAGAAATAAAGCCTCACATTTATGGTCAATTAGTTTTTCACAAGGGCGCCAAGGCAATTCAATGGGAGGAAAACTAGTCTTTTCGAAAATTGGTCCCTGTTTGTATAGAGGCATCAGGGAAGGCTTCCTGGAGGAGGGGGCATATGAAGGAGAAATGAGAGCAGGGGAAGCACTGGGCGCCAGGAGCTGGTTCTCGTTGTCTGCACACCCTGTTGTTAACCCCCGGCCCTGGAGGCTGAGGAGGGCCGGGTTTCGACTCCAGTTATGGAGAAAGAAACTGAGGTTGCTAGTGTGACTTCCCAGAACTGGGGTGTGAGCTGCTTCTCCTCCCGCTACCCTCAGAAGGCCCCTCCCTCTCCCCTAGGCCACGGCTGCCCAATAGGACTGCACTAAAGATGTTTCCATTTTCCCACTTCAGGGATGGCAAGCCAGCGAAGACCTCTTGAATCTCTGACTTCCCCCGAATATATTAACTTAATTAGCTTATTCTAAGGTGATAGCTTTCTGTTGTGTGCTTTGGAACTTAACTCGGCAAATTAACATTTGCGAACAGGATTTGGTTATGAATTTTAATGACTTTCATTCATTCACAGTCTAAGCAAATTACATACGTGGTGCTTTATTTAATATGTTTATTGCCATTTTATTATAGTCATTCGCAATGAAACGGCATAAAATATTAATTTAAAGAGGCAATCGCATGGATTCTCTCTCAAAGTGGCACGCACAGAATGTTTTCAAAGGCTGTGCAATGAGCCTCACCATTCCCTAACGATATAATGAACTGATTTTTACAGTGACAACTGGTCCTGGAATAGGAACGACCCACAGCCTGTATAAGGGACACTTCTAATATCTGCCTTCAATCTGCTCGCTGATGGCTCTGGAGTTCAAATGCTATATTGACACATTCTGAAAGGAACCTGCTCAGAACACAGGGCCACCAGGGCCCCTGGCGAATGTCACAGAGCCGAGAGGACCACGCAAATTCCTAACAATTTCCCCCGTACTGTACCCGGGTGGATAGCTTTAGGACTCTATGAATTGGGTGTGGTTTCGGTTTTTCAGTTTTAAAGTTTCATTAGACAATAAGGAGACAGAAGTAATTGTGAAGAACAAAGCAGCCAATCCGAAAGGCATTGCTGCAGTTGTCAGGCTAAGTGATTGATGATGGAAAGGCCAGTGGCCTCGGCCACAGCCACCAAGGACCCCTGTGCCTCAGCTCACATCAAGACCAGCAGGCCCTTCGGACGGGCCAAAGCATAGAGGCCGACAACAGGAACAGGGAAAAGGGTCGGTCACAGATGGCTTGAAAATCCCAGGCCTGCTGGCGGGGCCTCCATGGGACCCTGCTCTGAGATCTGAGTTCTCACCAGCGCCCCCAGAGGAGCCCAAGGTCACTGCAGGTGCGTTCCCCACCCTGTCTTCCTGGGGGCCATTGGGGCGGTGGGGGTCACACCAGCACATGTTTACAGTGTTTAAAAAAGGAAAAGGAAGTGCCATTGGGTGAACTTTTGCTCCAGATGTGTTTAGGGAACCACCCGATTTGAACACACACTGTATTCATTAAGTCCTTACAAAATGGCCGTTTAAGGGAACACCGCTGTGTGTGTGTGGGGGTGTGTGGGGGGAACCCAATGGCCTAGAGCTGCGCTTGCTTTTAAACCAAGTTAGAAAGTCAGCACCTAAACTGCACCAGCCACATTTCTAATGCTCAGTAGCGACATGGGCAGTGCAGACCACGCGTTGCACTGCAGAAAGTTCTGGAAAGCACAGTCTATCTTAGCTGCTGTGACACACTCAGGGAGCCCACTCCCCCCTCCTCACCTGCATGCCAGACCCCATCCCTTCTCAGCTCCATCTCCTGGTCCCCCTTCGGCCCAGCTATCCTCCGGGCCCTGGAGGCAGATTCGCCTGGTTCTGGGAACAGGGTTTTTGGCACAGCTCTGTCCCCTACAACCACACAACCACCCACGTCTCACTGCCCCATGTTAGCTTCCTATAGCTAATTACCATTAGTATAGTAATAGTTCACGTAGTTCAAAACAACACTAGTTCATTATTTCACACATCTGGAGGGGTCAGAAGTGTAAAATGGGCTATGTTCTTCCTGGGGGCCCCAGGGGAGAATCCGTTCCTTGCCTTTTCCAGCTTCTGGAGGTACCTGCATTCCTGGGCTCGTGGCCTCACAATACCCAGCCTCTACTTCCTGCTTCCATCCTCACAGCTCCCCTTTGACTCTGACTCTCCTGCCCCCCTTTGTAAAAACCCTGTGATGACACTGGGCCCACCCAGACAATCCAGGATAACTCCCCATCCCAAGGTCCTTAACCTAGTCACACCCGCAAAGTCCCTTTTGTCATGTAAGGTGACATATTCGCAGGTCCAGGGATCAGGACATGGATGTCCTTGGGGGTCATTATTCTGCCCAGCACACCCTCCTCCCTGTCCTCCTCCACTCTAGGCCAAGAAGAAAGACTGGGGTCCCCAGGGCCATGTCTGCCTCCCCGGTAGCCCCAGGGCCCGCGAGAGAGGACAATGAGGAGGGACAAGGGACAAGTACGAGGTGGCAGGTAGGTGTCCACCCACCCCGTGGCCCAGACGCCACCCAGAGCCTTCGCATTTCTCAGCCTTTCAAGGTGTTTCAAGGTCTAGCACGGAACTTAAAGGCTCTCAAATTTTTATGTAAGAAAACAAATCGCGTGTAAGTTTCCGACAAGAAATGAGTAATTTACATGGAACTGAGCAAACTGCTCTCCCGGATCCAACACCACTCTCTCGGTTCTGTTTCTCCTGTGCATTGTGTACATGAGACCCACTGCCCCACGTGGCTGTAGGATAAAATGTCTCCTTTGTCTTCCGTCATTCCAGGTGCCTTGGTACCTGGCCTACTGCCAGAAGGGGGGATAGGCTGAGGGGGACTAGCTGAGGACTCCCCAGGGCAGCCTGCTTGGATTGGTGCTGCGATAGACCAGGGCCCTGCATGCAGTCTAGGGCATTCATGAAGGCTTCCTGGAGGAGGTGTCACTGAGGTGAGTCTTAAAAGAGTCGAGCTGGTCTGGCTGGGTGGCCCAGAATCCTTTACAAGGCCATTAAAGGTTAAAAGATCACATCATCCAACTCATTCATTTCAGAAATAAGGAAACAAGCTGAGAGACAGGAGTGAGTTCAAGGTCATGTCGCTAATGAGGGGTGAGGAGGGACCGGATATGCCAGTGACAACAGTCCCTAAATCACGGCAGCTGGGCCTAACAGAAGCTTCCTTCTCACTTGTGTTCTGTGTCTGGCATGGGTGTCAGCAGGGGGCGCGCTGTGGTCACTCAGGGATGCAGGCTGGCAAGGCTCCATCTCGACCTGGCTTCCGTCACCACAAGAGGCACAGTGCACAGAGGCTCCTAAAGCTCCTCTCCACTGAGACCCACCCACGGCTGCTCCAGTCTCACTGGCCAGAGCAAGGCACACAGCTAACTTCCAAGGTGGCGGGAAGTGTCCCAGCTCTGGCCTGAGGCCAGAACTGCCTGGTGAGCAGCAATGACGAAAGCCGGGGCGAGGACCCCAGGTCCCTTGTCCCCTGCCCACTGCTGGGTCCCCTGCACGCAGGTGCACAGACACACAGCGGCGGGCACTCAGCTTCAGTCACAAGCTCACGCTTCAGTTTTCCCACAGGGTTAAGCCCAGCTACCGGAGGCAAAGGTCTGGGGAAACCGTCCCCACCCACAGAGGCGGCCCACAGTCCCACAGAGGACACAAAAGCAGGCCACGGCCCGGGCTCACTCACTACTGCAGACTGACGCCAAACTGCTGGGTGGGCAGAGGGGGCCGCGGCGGAGGCGTCTTGGCGGGAGGGAGCGGCCTGCCCTTGTGCAGGTTCCGCAGCTTCTCGTCGTACCTGTGGACACAGCAGAAGCCGGGTTCTCACCTTGTAGGGGAGCAGCGTGGGGTCACGAGGGGCCGCCTCCAGGCGCTGTCTGGGGGCCAAATGCCCATGAACACCTGCGGGATGTTCCTCCTTCTGGGCCCACGTGCCACGACCTTCTCTCTCTCGCTCTCTCTCTCTCTCTCTCTCGCTCTCTCTCTCTCTCTCTCTCTCTCTCTCTCTCACACACACACACACACACACACACACACACACACTTACAGTCCCNACAGAAGCTAAGAATTATGGAGCTGGGAGCAGGGGACAGAGAAGTGGGTGTGTTAAGGTCACTGCCTCTGATGGTTAATTCCAGGTGTCACCTTGACTGGGCTCAGGGGTGCCCAGGTGGCTGGTGAACATGATTTCTGGGAGTGTCTGTGAGGGTGTGATCAGAACCAACTAGTGTTTGAATCGCAGACTGAGTAAAGAAGACAGTCCTCACCAGTGTGGGCGGGCGTCATGCAACCCACCGAGGGCCCGAATAGAGCAAAAGGGTGGAGGAGGGGCGAATGTGCTCTTTGTTTGAGCGGGGACATCCATCTTCTCCTGTCCTCGGACACCTTTGGACATCAGTGCTCCTGGCTCTCAGGCCTTTGGGGTTTGACCAGGGCTTACACCATCGGCTCTCCTGGGTGTCCAGCTGCAGATGGCAGGCCTGGGACTTCTCAGCCTCCATAGTCAGGGGACCAATTCCCACGATACATCTCCTCTCATCTGCATCTGTCTATATCCTATGGGTTCTGTTTCTGTGGAGAGCCCCAACGAACACGCTGCCCACATGAGAAACACACCGAGTGGCCTGATCCCTCAGGTCTAATGGAAGCGATGCCCTATTTCCCTCTGACTACCCACTGGGCACGGGGCGGCTTGTCTTCTAAGTTTGGCAGGTGTCTGTTGCTTTTGTTGACATGTAGCATAACAGTGTTGTCGGTTAATAAAGCAACTATTTCATTTCGGCCTCTGCTCTTTAAAGAGTGGTAGGATGCTGCCTGGTGGCTTCTAGAGCACTTAGGCAATGGTCTGACAGGTATGTCCTTTGCTTTCTCAAACACTGGCAGGTACCTTTGTCCCTACTGTAGCTTTCATTCCATGCGCATAGCCAAGCTGGAGTGAAGCAGCCCCGGTGAGCCCACCCCACGCCACAGGGCCCACAGGAAGGCTGCCACTGTCAGTGTTCCTGGAGACCACCCAGCTGGGACTCACCTGCCACCTGTAGGATGCCGTGTCTGGCCACATCGTAGAAGGGGTGATTCATGCTCAATGCAGGGTCCTGGCCAGCCGTGGGCGCCACCGAGGGTCTCCTCACTGCACCCAGTGTGGCTGCCTCTTCCTCATCTCTCTGTAGTTCTATGGCCGATGATGAGGATTAGAGAAAGTCAGCTGTATTCTCCAGGAAGGAGATGAATGAGGAAGCCTCCTGAGGCTTTTTTATAGGACAGTCACCATGCCTCAGCTGTGCACCCACTATGCACCTGCTCAGTGTGCACCCACTATGTGTCTGCCTCTCCTGTGCACCCACTATACACCCACCTCTGCTGTGTGCTGACTATACTCCCACCTCTGCTGTGTGCTGACTATGCACCCACCTCTGCTGTGTGCTGATTATACACCCACCTCTGCTGTGTACCCACTATGCACCTGCTCAGTGTGCACTCACTATACACCCGCCTCTCCTGTGTATCCACTATATACTCACCTCTCCTGTTCACCCACTATGCACCTACTTCTCCTGTGTACCCACTATGCACCCACCTTTGCTGTACACCCACTATGCACCAATCTCTGCTGTGCACCCACTATGCACCTGCTCAGTGTGCAGCACCATGGAAGGAGAAAAACAAGACCCGAGGGCAGAATGTTGCCCTCTACACTGACAGAAGTGGAAACTGAGGCTGAGAGAAATGGAATGACTTCTCCAAGGTCACACTGCTAACTGGAAGCAGGGTGTGGACTTGAAGTCGATTTTCCAGCTCCAAAGTCTGACTCAGGCCCTTCTTGAAAGACGCTGACCCTAGCAGCTGGCAGGAAGCCATGGCAGGGGGCTGAGGGCAGATACTGGAGTGGCTTGCTATGAGGCAGGAAGAAAGCGCCATTTTCTGAAGTAATTTTTAGTAGGGGCAGTTCCTTCACATAAAACAACTGGAGGTTCTCTCAGAAATGTTTTCAGGTGGGAAAAGAATGGGAACTTCAAACATCAGGTTAGGGTGGACTTCGGGCCTCAGGGGCTCTGGGTTGAATAGTGTCCCTTCAAATTCACGTCTACCTGGAACCTCACTATGTGGCCCCATTTGGAAATGGTGTCCTTAGAGGTGAAATTAGTTATGATGAGGGCATACTGGATGAGGGTGGGCCCTGACTCCAAAGACAGGTGTCTTTATAAGAGGAGATGACACAGGGAAACACCAGGGGAGAGCACACGTGTACCTATTTCAGCCAGCTCCTCCAGGTCCAGCTGGGACATGCTCTGCTGGTGGCCCAGGCACACTGCCTCGACGTCACCTCCTGGGGATCCGGACATGGGGTCCTTTCAA